AGGGCAGTGAAGGATGTTACAAACAGAGACCCTGTCTCAAAAACAAACAAACAAAATGTGTATATTCAGATCACAAAAAGAACAAGAAAGAATTAAAAACAGAACATGACTTGTCCTTCAAAAAGTGTGAAATCTGGTAGAGAAAAGGCATACAAGTTAAAGAGCATAAAAGAATATTTGTCATTGTTTTTGTTTTTCAACACTGGGTTTCACTGTAGTTTTAGAGTCTGTCCTGGAACTAGCTCTTGTAGATCAGGCTGGCCTCCAACTCACAGAGATCTGCCTGCCTCTGCCTCCCGAGTGCTGGGATTAAAGGCATGTGCCACCACCGCCCGACTTGTCTTTTGAGAGATACAAGTACTAAAACTTGTACTAAAAGCTGAAAGAAGCTTTAATGTTGGGGAAGGCCTCCTGGTGCTAGACTGCAGATGGACCTTGGGATGTTAAATATTAGACAGGTCTGACAAGAGATATTCTGGGATGAGGAAAGGCAGAGTGAAGGGTGACCACATAGATCCAAGTGACACTGAACGAAATTAACATTACTGCTCCAAAAGGTTCAGATCTGACTAGAAACAGCCTAAATGTTCATTTGCTGTTGAACGGATCAACAAAATGTGATACAATAATTCTTCTTTACCCAAGATTTTGCTTTCTGTGGTTTGTTATTCACCCTCAATTACTATTAGAAGATACTGAATGGAAAATTCCAGAAATAAAAAATTCATAAATTATAAATAGCATGCCATTTCTGCAAAAATGGAAAAAAAATTCTTCTTGCACTGTCTTGCAATATAGTACTGTGTGTGTGTTTAAGTATTCCTTATTTAGTAATGGCCAAAGCACAGGGCTAGTAGGGCTGGCAATTTGGATATGCCAGAAAGAAGCCATGAAGTGCCTCCTTTATGTGAGAAAGTGAACTTCTCAATAAGGAAAAAAAAAAACTGTATACTAAGGTTGCTAAAACAAATGGTAGAAAAGATAGTTATCTAAAAATAATAAGGAAAAAGATATTTCTGCTTATTTTGCTGCTGTCTAATCTCAAACTACAAAAGTTATGGTCATATATATACTCGGCAACAATGGAAAATGTGTTAAATATCAGGACTCAGTACTCTGCAGGTTCAGCATCCAGTAGGAGGTCCCGAAACATATGGCCTGTAGTCAAGACAGAACTACTGTATGCATATGCAATAAAACACCATTTATCAACAAAAAGGAAGTAATAATGATGCTCTATCACCCTAAAAACATTTTGCTAAGTAAAAAAAGTCAGATTCAAAGGCCATATCATATACCATTCCATTTATAGAATACCAGAATAAGCAGGTCCACAGGGACAGGAAACAGATTAGTAAGTAGCTTTGAAAAGTTGAAAGGATTCAGAAGTAAGATGTAGCTACAGGCTTCAAGGGAGACAAGAATGTCCTAAAATTGACAGTAGTATTAGTTGCAAAGTTCTGTGAATACATGAAAACCACTAATTGTTCACTTCAAAAGAAAACCATATGGAATGTGAAACACAGTTTAGAAAAGCCATTTTAAAAAGTGAGAAAGAGCCAGGCAGTAGTGGTGCACACTTTTAATCCCAGCACTTGGGAGGCAGGGGCAGGTGGATCTCTGTGAGTTTGAGGCCAGCCTGGTCTAAAGAGCAAGTTCCAGGACAGCCAGGACTACACAGAGAAACCCTGTCTTAAAAGGAAAAAAAAAGTGAGTAACAAACAGGATATACAATGTACAGCCAAGGGGGTCACACTTACCAAGGATTTTAAATGCCTTAAAGGTCTAAGATTATCTAGGAAACAATTTGAGGTTTATGAGTGAAATTTTACTTAATGGAAATACAGTATGCATACTTAGACTCTTCTCTAATAAAACTATTCACATATTTTGAGTACATTCCTAAAATACATGCCAAAAATCACACAGAAGAAAGAGAACAGGAAAAAGATGCTGTGCTCTGAATTTGACTAAGACATAAGCTGTGACTATTGGGAAGTTGTTTTGCTTTAGTTCTAAATGCCACAGATGGGTCTATCAGCATCATATTTATGCAAAACCACAAAATCATCTGTGCTAAGTCTTCAAGCATCGTAATGTTCTAAACTTTCTGTTAAAATGGCAATGATAACTGGCCTGTCACACTTTCAAAGTAAACAATGAATTTGTCTGTCAATGGATGTTGGATTCAATTTAAATGCTATGAGAACTTCCATTAATGTAAAGCTTCGCCTATTGATGCTTACACATTTGACTGAATTCTAATTCAGTATTATTAATATTTCAAGAATGGGGATCGGTGAAGAGACAGCTCAGTGGTTAATTTGTTTTATTAATTTATTTTATATTAATTTATTAATTTATTGATCTTATTAATAATTAATGGCTGTTCTTTCAGAGGATAGAGGCTCCAGTTCCATCGGATCCAATGCCTTCTTCAAGCACTGACTGCATGTGGAGCACAGACACATATGCAGGCAAAACATTTATATACAAAAATAAATAAATATTTTAAATGATTCCCAGAGTTTAAATACACAATAAGAGAACCAAAGAAGCAAATATAACACACAAGTAAATACACAAATCCAATACTAGGAATAGTTAAGCACTCAAAATTAAACCTGAAAATCATCTACAGAGGGAAAAGACTGAAGTTCCTAATTAGGTTCTAGAATATTCAGACAATGTTTTAAGAGAATAAATTATTTAAAATAGAAAGCTCACTACAAGAGAGCAGATAAGAAAGCAAGCTTTAACAGAAACAGTTTGAATACATCTGTAAGACAACCCTACCCCCTCCTGAGTCCTGGAGAAGAAAGGACCCTTCAGGTAATCCTGCCTTAATCCCTCTAAAGAAACCCCACTTTTCCCAAACACACCTGCCCCCAGCAGGTGGTAAGAGGGTAACAATACAAAAGAAGAACCCACATGTAAACAAACTAGTGTTTCCCTATCCATAGGAAACTAAAGGAGACAAGTGAACTCTTTTTAAACTCTCTTCTTTGAAAAGGGGTCTGGGGTATGTCTGTCTCATAAGGCTTTTATGAGGTTCCATAAGGGAAACTTATGTTCGATATCTGAAAAGTGGGGGGGGGGAGGGAAGGGGGTCGTAGGGGAGGGGAGGAACAGGGAGGGAGGGAAGAAAAAAGGAAGGAAAGAAGGAAGGAAGGAAGGAAGGAAGGAAGGAAGGAAAGAAAAGAAAAGAAAAGAAAAGGAAGAAAGACATAGACAATTTAGTTCTCTCAACAGTAAAAGCAAAGTAAAAAAAAAACAAACTTAAAAAAATGTTTATCAATGACATCTAGAGTGAGGAGTCTATGAGGAGTCTATAGGTCTCTCTGTTTCCTGATTATAAGTAAGAGTTTACACTAAAAGAAAAGCATGCCACAGGAATGAGCAGGACTTATTTTCAATCATTAACTGCTGCATATCAAGAGAAATATATCCAGTATTCTTCAACTGTTTAATCATGTGCAGAAGAATCATGGTGAAAGCCAATGGGCAGGAAAGGTCTCATGATGAAGCACTGGCTGCCCTGGTATTCCCTACATAGCCAAGGCTGTCCTTCAACTCTCAGCAATTCTCCTGCAACAGCTTCCCCAAACACTGGGATTACAAGTATGGCCACCAAGTTCCCCTTCTCTTTGCTTGCTTTCTTGTGCTCATCTGTCTGTCTACCTGCCTGTCTATCTGTTTGGCTTGGTTTTTGTTTGTTATATTCATTGAAGACCATAATCAACAGGGTCTGAATGGTAGGTATATTGATAAATAGCAAGAATAGAAACTCAGGGTGCCACCAAGAGATAAATAATAATTAAGAAAAATCCTGGAGAGAGGCTAATCCTCTCTCTTGCCCATGTGAAGTAAACTGTGGTGAACAGTTTACTTCACATGGGCAAGGCCCTGAGTCTGAGAAAGAGAAGGAGGAAGAATCTTATATACTCATTCAATAAACATCATGGGACTGGAAATGTGATCCATCGTCTATAATCAAGAACAGAACAAGAAGCTGGTCAGCACTTGAAACTAGTAAAGTAGACGTAAGCAAAGGAAACAAGGAGAACAGACATTGTAGGAGGTAACACCAGTTTTCAAAATCTGATTCCCAACAGCAAAAGTGAAGACTAATTTACCAAAAGGAAAAAAGTGCATAACAGATTAAAATAATTTTTAAACATATACAAAATGCCTAGGACATTTTCTATTTCTGAAGACTTTTCATCAATACATTTACCTTTTAAATGATTCTGAACATTTGTATTAATATGTTCATAAATGCATATGAAGTTGATTCCAGTAAGGTCCTGAAGTCTGTAAGTTAAAAGAGTAAGAACAGTCCCCACTCCCTGCCCTCCACCCCCAGCACGGGACTGGAGACCTTTGCGTTTGATATAATGTAGAATCATCAGACGCATACATCATACAATATAATCATTTGTCTTAAGCTATTTGAGCCTTTGAGATGGTCTGAAACTTAAATGAGAGTAGATTCAATTTAATTTTTTAAAAAAGAAACGCTTGTGCAATGTAAAGCTCATACTGCAAAACTAATATAAACAATATATCCAGAGCATAAATCTGTATTTGTGAAATTTTTCTATATAGTAAACAGCATGTAATATTCATACTCTACATGAGCTTTAAAATTAATCACTAGATACCCTTAAATCTTATCTATCCTAACTGACTCCTGCATGAGCAAAGTTGGAAAGTAATTTTAAAAGGATGTGATTCAATTCAAACCATTAGCTGTTCTGCTTTTCCTCCTGCAGGCAATGTTCTTTAAATTAGATGTTATTTGATTTCAGTTCTCAAATTCATAAGCCCAAGCCTAACCTAATTCACAACATAATTATGATGCATGCAGAAAAAGTAGTTTGTTCAAGTGGGAGAGTAAATCTGAACACCATCGACAATTGAAACATGACATTTCAGAAACAGTTCTTGTTTGCCCCACAGGCAAAGAGCAGCAATTTGGTAGAAAGACTGAGACATACCTGAGCAGGTAAACAGCCCTGTCGATATCACTGAGGTCTTCATCAACCGTCAATCTTTCTATTTCTTCTGGTGTCTGTCAAGTATAATATGCAAATTAGATGTACAAACATTGGTCCCTCTTGCCTCCCAAAGACCCTCGAAGACCCTACTGGTGAAAAAGTTTCACAGTTATAGCAACGACAACTCATCCAGAGTCTGATAATTCCTCCACATTATAGCAAACACAAAGGTCTTCAGTTGGGGACTGGGCGCGGGGACTGTTTTTACTCTTAACTTGCCGAGTCCAGGACCTCGCTGGAATCAACTTCATATGTATATATACCACATGTGGACACAGATACGTATATTCACATATTTTTATCTCCAACAGAATCCTCCAAGACTAAAGCATTTTTTCCACACCAGGGAATGCTTTAAAGGGGTGGGGGTGGGGGGAGGGTTGAAGACTGCGAGTTGAATGGCATCGAAAAGGACAAGCTTTGGAGATCCGTTGGGAACCAAAGAGCCTCAGACTAAAAGGAAATCTAAGGTTCAAGAGAACTATGAGGGAGTGGCCAGATGAGAAGGGAGAGGGTCCCGAAACTAGGTTTACCGTCTGTAAGGATGAGGGTTGGAGTCTCAGAAGGCTGGGAAGATGACTCTGCGGGGTGGGGGAGCTAGTGAGGGGGGGGGTTGACTCCCTCAAGGGGGCTGTGGAGCAGGGTCCCATCTACAGTCCTGGAGGGGCTGGGAGGAAACGGATGCATGGTGACTCTGGATGGGAGAGGTTTTGAAACCCTAAACTAGGACAACTCTGGGAAGGGTGCCTCTCTTCGGGAGGTGAAGGGAGGCCATGCTCCCCTGGGCACCAGGAGACCGGAGCTTGAGCGTATGAAGAGGTTGGGGGGTGGGGGTGCGGGGTGACCGTGAATGGATGGGACCTGGGAAGTCCGGGTGAGAGAGGGAGGTAGGGCTCTGTGAACCCGAGAGTGGGCCAGCATCCAGAACCTGGGAACACGGACCCAGAGAGAAGCCGGCTGCGGATGAGGGGTACACCGAGGCTGGCTACAAGAACAGTGGCTTGGCCGTTCGCGGGGGAGGCCGGAGCCGGGTGGGGCGCAGGATGGCCGCAGTCGAGGGACCGAGTCGGGGGGACGGGCTGGTTCCAGTCGGGGGACAGTGCTGATTTCAGTTCCGAGACAGAACTGGCCGCAGTCAAGGGACCCAGCTGGTTCCAGTCCGAGGAAGGAGCTAGCCTCAGTGAGACGGGGCTAGCTCCAGTCAGAGTTAGGGGCTGGCTTCGGTCAGGGGAAGGGGCAGGCTTCAGTCAAGGGGACAGGGACAGGCCGACCCTCGGCTGCGGCGGAGAGTGAGGCTCTGAGGCGGCTGCGGTGACACGGCGACCGGGGCCGTCGGACGCCGCCGGGTCGGGCGGACCGCCCTGAGGGGAGCGTCTCTCGGCCCTGCGCACCTTGAGGCTCCGGCGGACCGGCCTCTCGATGATGGTGAGTTCCTGCAGGTCCTCCATGTAGCCGAACAGGCTGTTCTGCCCGAAATCCATCGCG